AAATAACTTTAATAAATTCAACTACTCTCAGTTTATACAAACGAAACTGTAAATACAAAATGATAAAGAATCAATACGTAAACATCTAGTGATAATCCTATACCACAGTTTAGTTTTAAAATAAATATTAGAAAAGTTACAGGTCAGCTACATTCTAGCGATCGAATTCTGTCGACATCAACTCCAAAGCGTGTTGCCAACTTCGGGCAACGAGAAAGTGCAAATTAATTCGAGAGGCATGGAAGTAAACACATACGTTTTTTACTGCTACATAGAAACTTTGATAAATATAAATATTAATTGCAATCGAACTTTACTTTATTGAACTTAGATATTGTAATTTAAGAGTATGTTCTGATATTGTTTTAATTTAAACGACTCAAGATTTTAGTGACTTTCTCTACAGACTTTACTGTATTGAACTTAGACATTGTAGTTTAGGAGTATGTTCTGAAATTGTTTTAATTTCAAACAATGAATTCAAGACTCCCGATTTTTAGAAACAACCGAAAGGTTTGTAATAACTTTGAAACCTGTATTTTTTTTTTTTTTTATTTTATTTATTATTTTTTTTTTTTTTTAAGAAATACGGTTGAAGGCAGCAGTTGTAACTGTCTAGTAAGCGTAAACAAATTTCGATTATGAAAATATATCGTTTGTACATATATCGCACGAAGTGCAAAGATATCATATTCTTTAATTTTTGTTAAAATTTGATAAATTGGTACTTTTCCGTTTCGCCGGCGCAAATCTCGCCAAGCAGACTTTATTGGCGACAACATACAGTATACACGTAAAAAGTATTAAAAAAATGTTAGTTCTAAGAATTCTTTTTAAAAAAGAAGGCATAAACATTTTAATGTCGCTTAAAATTTTATAAAAAGCCAATAAATAAATACAACAAATTTGTAAAAAGACATTAAGAATTTACTATGCTTTCATGGTTCAACATCCTGATTCGCCGGTTCATATCACGTGACCCCAAGCGATCTCATCTCACGTAAACTACTCTACAAAAATCTAATGCTCTTAGTAATTATCCACATTAATTTCAAGTTAAATCTTAATTTGGAACACAAGTTTAAATGCAAGAAATATTTCAATTCGTACGAATAGCTTACTCAGAAATTATGTAAAACTGCAGTGCTTTACTTCGCTAATGCATTCTCATTAGAATTGATGAATTTAACCCTTGACTTTACCTTTTCTATATTTTTCGGCTTCGGGTAAGTGCTGTGATTGCATCCTAATTAACTTAATTACCGAAAATTGCCTTAAAACATAAAACTGAACTATCTGATAAAAATTATACGTAATGATATGCCAGTATTGAAAGAAACAATCAATCTGATAAGAAAAACCTGCGACTTGTTTTGAAAATGAGGCGTAAAAGGTTACCAGCGAGAATATTTCGTTTGGCATGGGTTGTACCATTATTGGCGACTTTATCGCTTGCGCCGGCAAAAAGGAAAAGTACCAATTTGATTTCTGTTACTATTTTATCGAGTTTTGCTCTTCGAAATGGCGAAAATTGAATCACTGATCAAATTGCGATATGGATCAATCAGCAGCGAGTGAAAGTAAAACTTCACCGACTTTCTTATCACTTCCCAAGTAAGCTTGCAAAATCATTCGAAAATGCGCTCATAGATCGCAACTCGCATCTGATCAACATAAACAATTTGAATAAAAAAAAAAAACCATACGTATTTTAGCTGATAATTCAAATCTGCTTCTAAATCAGCGTTAATGAACACGATAAAAATACACATCAGCTGCGCAATACATTACAAATTTATTGAATAAGAAATTGTTCTAAGAGGAATCTCACTTAAACAGAAAATTAAGTAAAACTTCAATTAACATCTTTATATCTGCAACCTTAATTCTAGTGAACAACCGTTAAATGATATTCGAAAATAAAAAAAATAATATTCACCAAATCTGACACACTGAACACCAATATATAGCATGTAAATTTTTTATTATATTAAATTTTGAAGACTCACGAGAATGTACTTATCAGGAGGTTCATATTTCAACCACTAAAAATCGAATTTGTAAATTCGAAAGCAATTTCGTTTGCATATAAACCGTAACTAACTTTTACCATATTCCAAAGATTAGCCACTTTTACTTATCTGCTGTCGCTCCCCTCCGTTCGAGCAGGTAAAGTGGCTGAACACTGATAGTTCAGTCTGGGGGTTCCTGCATGGGTGTTTTCCCCCATGCTTACGATGCATAAGAGCCAGTTTGGTAAAATCCTAGTATACGGTGCAGCCTTGGCGCGATTTTGAAAATTATAGCCAACACCAAACATGATCCAAAGAACGTCTATATATATATATACTATACACATAGTATATACTATAGTGTATATACACTATATACATAGTATATACTATGTATAACTATATTCTTTGAATGACCCGTTTACTACTCATCGTATATGTCCCGTTTTTACTGCTCATCATAAAGTCGCCAAAAGTAGCCAAATCCCGTGTGCACCGGATACTAGGATTAAACCGCCAGTTTTATTTACAAAGTCCTCTCTGAAGGCATCCTTCTTCTCCCGAGGGCTATCTCCCGATGTAGATTGCCCTCGAGTGCCATAATCAAATAAACCAAACCAATCTTTATCTGTTGTCAAATTTTGTGGGAAATACTTTTGCTGCAAGCCAATATCTTATCAGACACAAAGAATAAAATTAGTTAAAGAAAAAAAAAAAGTAACTTTGGCCTGCCGTAAATTTTGGGGGGAAAAAATTAAGTTTTATTCAACATTTATGCCAAGATTAATTTGGTTTTTCGCCTAATTTAAATTGGCCTGTTTTTCTCCAACCTTCATGCGAAGGTACTGGACGAACCAATACAGCGACTATTCAGAACTTGGCGAATTTAGCGACAAACTTGGCGGGCTGATCAGGTTTTCGTTAAGATTTCGATGAAAACTGAGGTACGCTTTCTGTTAACAGGACGAGATTGAGAAATGCATGCCTGTATAGACGAATGTGTTCATCTAATATATGTATATATGTACGTACGATTATATGTGTGTATGGACACACAGATATGGCCACATACATACGTGCTTACATACATACATTTTTGAATCCGCTCCCGATAACAGAAAAGTACCAAAATTGAATTTTAAATTAATTCACAAGCTGTAACAAATCTTTATATTTTACTGTTAAGAGACAGTGGAAAAGGGAGTTTCTGCCCCAGTCAGAAATGATTACATTAGTAAAATAATAAACTTGCCATGTGTTAAAAGGGCGTGTGGGAAGGGGAATTTTCTGGGCAGTAGACTTTGACATGCAAGATACGGATTTCATTGCAGCTTACTTACAAAATCATTAACTATTTATTGATAGTCAATGAATGCAATTAAGACAAAAATAATACACTAAGCACCTTTACTTTCTATTGAATTACCAGAATACATAACTATGCAGCTTTAAATAAAATAAAAACAGAATAAAAATTTTCAAAGCAGGGACACTTTTCATGGAAGTATTTTCAAGAAATAATGATATAGGCTATACCTAGTTTAAATGTCAGGCTGTAAATTGCCAGTAATACTGTAATGAATACATAAGAATAATAATGTAATGAATCAAGTTGCATAAAGCCAAAATACATCTGTGAAAGAAAATATTAAAATTATGATTAGATACACTTTTAGAGAGAAATGCACGGGGGGGATGATCACGCAAAATCAGCAAAATTAATAAATTTTGTTTTTGAAAATTTTATAACGTTCAGGAAATACACATACATACATACATACATACATACACAGCAAATCAGATTGCCTTTTCCACACACAGATTGTATGCAGATTTCACAAGGATTCAATATTATTACAAAGCCCTTTTTCCCTCCCCACTAAACATATATTTAAGAAAGACAAATACATAAGGTTGTTAAACAAGATATTTGATGAAACACCTTAGCCCAATAAAACAATTTTCAATAATTTGCAAAAACACATATGTATAATTATTATTCTATATAACACGAATTAAAATAACACAAATTAAAATCGAATTAGAAAAATTAAACTATTATACGAATTAAAAAAATACCATTTCTAGATTTGTTTAAGAGAAAAGAACTTTAGAAAGAACAGAGTTAATTAAAAAATCTGCATATGTTTCCTACCAGTAAACAGATCGAATTTTTTAAAAAAAATTTGAATAATTACTTTCAGTTATCTTGTATGCTTTAATTATATGTTATTTACCCTGCATAAGACAATAAATTTACATATGCAAGAAAATTCTGTTTTCATATTTTCTGCTGAAATTTTTTGCAGCTGATACGATATGGGCGGTAGAAAATCGAAACTACGCCTTCAAACGAAATTTAAAAAACAGTATTTTCAATATTTTAGGTACATTAGTTTTTAAACTCTCGTAAATGCCTTAGCATTCATAATCCAATAGTATGGATGTATAACTATGCATTTTGGGGGAGGGAGGAAAAGGTAAATGGAGAAGAAAATTAACTGCAATTTTAAAATAATGCTTACTTTAAAATTTGGCAAATAAAGTCGTGAATAAGATCGTTTCAATTTTTCATCACAAAAACAAAATGATTCATACTGTTTTCTAAGTATTAACATACCACAAATATTGATACATCATACAAGAAAGGTATTTTTGAGTTCAAATATTCAAAACGTTCCTAATCGAGAAGAACAATCAGCGTAAGCAGTGTAAAATTACTACACGATGTCATAATTTCTGATTTGAAAAAAATTCATTAATGCAAAGCTTTATTGCATTTACAGACATAAACAGATTTAATATTCCGCTGTATAAATTCGATGGAATTCCAAACAATTTGCTAGCATTTAGGAATTACTATTCATGTGGTTTATGCAAAAATAGAATGGCAAAGTATTATGACTGGTTTTATAGCTTTGTCTTAAATCAGCGGAATTACTAATTAATAAAAGGTAAGGTTTAAAGAATGAAAAGTGAGTAGCTTACCCAATGAAATTTTTGATGAAACAATAGACGGAAAAAAGTGAATTTTCAGAAAAAGAAAGGTCCCAGTGAGGAGGTAAAGTACCCCCTCGTTCTTGGGGATTTCGCCTGTGCAGATGATGATTTTTGGTTTCGACAACCTTCGTCTGGGGCTGAGTGTTGTCGACAACGCTCACCTGCACCAGGGTGTTCATTGCTTCCCACATGAAATTAAAAAAACAAACTTGCTGTATAAATACGTAAAGGAATATACAGCTCTACGATATAAACAAGGAAGAAGTCTTAGAGACTCAACAATTCGAGGAAAGTCAGATTAATCACCACATAGGAGTGATGAGTTCAACGCATTGCTTAACTTCAGATATTTTCATGATGTACGAGTCAGCTTCCCTGAAAAATGCATTCGCTCTTAAGGCGTATTTACGAGAACACAGTTATCAATGGAAAAATTAAATCCCTCACTCTTCAAGTAGAACACAGATCCATACACAACAGCAACTCTAACCTACCATGTAAAACTTACAAGCCCAGCGTCCTCAGCTGAGTTGACGTCATCAACTAATTATGGCTGCGTCGATTTCGCGGACGCAACCCCGATTCACTGCATTGGCCGCGCAGGATGCCAGGGCTCGTTTTCCCTGCATTCTGTATGAAAAGTCCCTTTGCAAATCCCTACGTTTGACAGAGGTAAATTTCAAATAAACCGTCATTATTTTTTTAAAAATATGCTTTAATAAAATTTTAATGTTTGTAAAAAAAGGGGGCAATTAGGATTAAAATAATGAATTCGGTCTAAGATATGCATAAAACAAATAAACAGAACAAATTACAGTTTAAATTTGAAGGCACTGCCATCGTTATAAAGAATACAAGAGAAATTTGTTATGTATATAAATAAAAGCGTTGAACAACACATACACAGGAAATGAACTAAAAGTCAGAAAATACTAAAAGAGAGGAAAAAAAAAAAAATCTCTATTTCTAGTTAGGAAATTAATTCAGAAATTAAGAATAATTAAATTTTTAAAGAATTATGTAAATTTTTAATGCAATTATGACCACCAAATTATGTTGTATTCGCAACGCAATATAAAAAGGCTATAATTAATGCCGAACGAATATAGTACCATCGTTATCAAGCATTGCTCGAAAAAAGTAAGATACTATGGACAGTAAGAAAAGCTATTAAAACTTTTTAAATTTCTGATAGGATCGTTTATAAATGACACTGTATAGTGTCTTTAACACCAACAGTGACACTACGATGATAGTCACACATTCGCGAATTCAGGCAGCCCTGTAATGAAAAATCACAGGGCTCAGATCAGAAGATCTGAATGACAGTTTCCACTTAGAGTGACCCCTTATTACTCAATGTTCAGCAAATGTTAAAAGCACAGAAGCTGTACAAAGTGATACAAGGGTGTCAGCATAATGTAAATTTACCGAAACACATTTTTTTTTTTTAAATTCATCGATTGGATCATACTACTCTGTCTTGTTGAAATCTAATTTATTTAGCCTTAACAGCTTCCATAAATTAACATTATAAACGAAAACTACCATTGTGCATTCGAAATTTAAATCATGTACGTACATATCTATATATATAAAGAAGGAAGGTCTATGTGTTTGTTCGCAATTAACTCAGTCACTACTATAGCTATCATCATCAAACTTTCTACAATTAGAGGTCGGTCCATTCCCCCCCCCCCCCCGAAAAAAAAGGTAGCTGAAATCACAGATATTAATTAAAAAGTCTGAAAACGCTAATTTTCACCATAATTTTTCAGAATGGCAACAGTCTTGCACGTTGGAGATAAAAATCTGCTTTATTTCGAGAAGTGTTGCCACTGCTCGCTTTCAAATCGTTGAGTTCGTTAATAAAAAATTCCGAAGTTTTACATTGAAATAAAAATAGCATTGACAAATATTAAATACATCATTCTTGATTAGAAAAAATTCGTGGGATGCCATTTTGGTCATTCCCATTTTTATACGACTTTTTATACCCATTTTTATACCCATTTTTATACGATTTTCAGAGTTTTTAATTAATATCTCGGCTGATTAAAGCCGAGATATTAATTAAAAACTCTGAAAACACTAATTTCCGCGCTCATTTTTCGAAGTGGCAACAGTCTCGAGCATTGGAAATTAAAATGCTTTATGTAGAAAAGTATTGCTACTGCTTGCTTTCAAATCCTAGATTTGTTAATCAAAAATTTGTAAATTTCACAAAATTTGTATATAAAAAGAAAGACGCCTGTTTGTTCGCATTATCGATTTTTGATCAATTGTGATCAATTTTTTGCCACATTTAATCGACTAAAATTGAATATAGGTGAAATAATATTGGATGGAACTTGATTTTATGACTATTAGATTAGAAAGACGAAAATCATTAAAAACTGCGTGCCATTGTTGATGATATAATGACAGATTAGTTTATTTTTCCATGGAAAGTTTTTATGTGGATTCCGTACGCATCACGCTGAAAAATGTATAACTATGAATCATATTTTTTGCATCGTTATTAGAGAAGGATTACAGCGGTATCATTGTCTCTGTTGTTAGATACATTACTCTCGATCTAAGTTAATTGCCATTGGGTACTTCTGCTAGTATTCGTATAAAATATTAAAGGAATCCACTTAATTATATTGATTACAACCTAATAAAATTTTTTCTGTTTTGCAAATATCCCATAAGTATATCGTTTACTAATTTTGGCATCGATTTTTTCACACTTTTTCGATCTGGTAGGAAGGACTAGTAAATTTTATGATTAAATTATTACCAAATTTGTTGTTTTTATATATTTAATGACTTTCGTTTTTTCTAAATTGTACATCATTATGATATATTTACTACAGAAAGCACATCAAAAGTCTCTAATTGCACGTCTAATTTCTGTTTCCCTGACAGAATAAATTAGCCATGCAATTATTATTTTGTACGCTTTTGTAACTGTATTTCTATATTTTATGAACATAGAAAGAGCTTCGAGTTGACTCATATTAATTTTTACTATCCCTCTTCTACTTTTATGTCTATGATTTTACATGGAACTTTGTTTCCATACGGTATTAATTTTTATGTATTTCTATATATAAGAACATTCTCTCTCTTTTTTTACTTTGTTTACTTTGGTTTAAGTAAGGCACTTAGGGTTTATTTTCGTTCCTACAGTTTAGTTTCTTTTCCTATACATAAGAATCTTTGTTTTAGGCTTAAAAGAAAAATGGCATCTACAAATTCTAAACTTTCCAGAGACATGCTAGGAATAAAATTTCAACTCGTACAGCATATATTTGGCTTTTATTACTTCAACTTAATTCTTAGACTTAAAGGAACAATGGTTTCTACTGGTTCTAAATTTTTTAGAGACATGCTAGCAATAATAGTTCAACTTATAAAGCATTAATATGGATTTAATTGCTTCAGCTTAATTTTTAGGCTTAAAGGAACAATAGCTTCTGCTGATTCTAGACTTTCTATAGATATTACTTGCTAGCAATAAAATTTCAACTTATACAGCATAAATTTGGCTTTAATTGCTTCAGCTTAATTCTTAGGCTTAAAGAACAATGGCTTCTACTGATTCTAAACTTTTTAAAGATATGCCAGCAATAAAATTTAAAGTTATATAGCATAAATTTGGCTGTAATTTCTGCAGCTTATTCTTTTATAAAATCGTACTTATAAGTGGAAATTTCAGAATGTAACGACTGCTAAATGAACATGTACTTTCTGCTTGAAGATGACATAATTCAAGTTTTCACAGTTTCATTTTTGTTTTTCAAAATCGTTCAATATTATTCTTATTTTACCGGTGTCTTACATTTAGCCTCTGTTAAGTCTCCAATTTCTAAGGTGAAAACAAATTTATTTTACTATACAAAATAAATTAGATACATATTACTTGATTTATTTCCCTGTGGATCTTAGGTTAAAATGGAAATATAGTTAGTTATCAGTAGAACTTGTTCTTTTACGTTCTGAACAACAGATAGTCGCTAAACTAAATGTTATAAAATATTACTGTTCTTAATTAAAAAGTAATAAAACGTTAAAAGTTTTACAATAACAAATAGAAAAATAAAAAAATTCTTATTGCCGCTGATTCCAAGCGTAGCAACAGCTAAAGAGCTTTCGAAATGGTATAGTTCCATTAATACAATACCCCAACAGAAATTGAAAGGGATTTCAAATTTGTTTTCATGATAATATTGCACTTTAAAAGCACCTATCGAAATTAATATCATACCTTGCAGTAAACTTTTAAAATTTCAGTTTTACAAATATTATATATAGACTTAAGGATTCTAAAGTTAAAAGTAAATTGGAATCACAGCAAGGTTATTCCTCAACAATATTAATATTAGCAGCATTTACCATATAATAAATCTCCTTAACTCAAACAACAATTTTTTGTCTCATTTAAGAAGGATTAAATAAAATGAAACACTAACAAAAAAAAAAAAAAAAAAAAAAAAAAAAATGAATAACAATACACATAAAGAGATAATGTTAGAATACAATTATAACGTGTTATGATGCATCATAACATCTTCTAATGGTTAACAACATCTAAAGCGTATACCTTTCCACACTATATTTGTATTACCAAATTATCATCCACTATTTTTATATAAATACATTTATTTATGCAGTCTGGCAAATCGCCAATCTTAAAGAGATGTTCCCAGTTTACCATGGGCCATATTTTGGATTTACCGCTCATATTAAAACAATACGATAAGTGCAATAAATAAACTTATTGATAAAAAGTTATTCAAGTCAGTTCAATTTTTAATAATATTACTAACTGGTACTGTTAACATAACAAATAAAGTCGTTTCTAAGACCATATAAGACCTGTAAAACCAAATACCTGATTACAGGTGTCTAATTTTTTACATGATGTAGCATTAACGGAATGTTAACAATAAAAAAATAAATAAAATAAAATAAATTTGAAAAAAAGAAAAGAAAAGGAAGCAAGACCCAGCCAAAGGCGAATCTATGCTCATTTTAAAAAAATACTCTATTTGCCTTCGCTACATTCCATTTAATACATTGCACGTTTTTATTTTATGATTAAAACTATAAAAATAAAATCGAGCAAAAATTTGCTGAAAAGCGTACACAATGTCAAGTTGTGATTAGTATTTAAAAATGGCTGCTCTTTCACTTATTCACAAACTCAATTAAATCTTAATATATTTTCCACAAGCATTTGCATAATAAACAACCTTTGGTTTTTTCTATATTTTAAAAAGTAACTGAATACATGTAAATATTAAAGCTATACATATATCGGATTCCAACTAAGATATCCCAAAAAATTAGCTGACTCTAATATTTTTTAATATTTCTTTTCTACTTTATTTTAAACTGTCAACTACGATGGAAGATGACTAATCAAAATGTTTCTTACACCTTTTTAAATGATGACACTTTTAAAAATGTTTTAAAATGACTTATAATATAATTATAA